GTACAGTCAGTCGGTCAGTCAGTCAGTCAGTCAGTCAAGGTGTCCAAAAAATAAAAATAAATCAAATCTCAAACTCAGTCGTTTGATTTAATTCCTCCAATCTCAAACTCAGTCGTTTGATTTAATTAATTTGAAATAATTAAAAGTGTCAGATTTTTATTTTATTTTTTTCTGACCGTAGCTTGAAGAGACACTATGTGAGGTTTAGCTACACCTGGTGGTGGTGTATGTTGTGGAGAAATGTTCCTGTAGAAGAACACCTGCACTCCTTGATTTAAAAAAAATAAATAAATAAACCACAGTGCCCCCTCCCACCACCAAAGACCCCCTCACCCCCATGTCTGTACAAATGTAGAATATTTAATAATTATAGACGCGTCTGTTTCACACTGTGTGTGTGTGATTTTTTTTATCCATATGAAACGTGAATATAATAATCATTTGAAAAACCCACATTTCTTCTTCGTGAGTCAGAGGGTTAACTGTAAGAACAGGGCGGTCACCTGACCCGTGAAATCAGAGGAACATCTGTGACAAAAATGAATGAATGAATGAATTCATGTCGATTTCCTCCATGACGTCACTGTGACGAAGCTCAGATAAAAGAGACTGAAGTGAGAGACTTTACATGTTTGATGATGGTGAGAAAACAGAAGGAAATAAGGAAATGTTTTATAAAAACACAACATAATATATGAATAATTTAATCGTGCAGTCGTGCAAGAAACTTTTCCATCTGTGGTCCTGACCTGTTTTTGACTCTCTCTCTTTTTTTAATCTCACGATTTAAAACAAAACATTCTTGTTCTCAGAAGAAAAAAAAGTCACATTTCAATTATTTAATTTATTTAATTTTCTTTTCTTTTTTTCTGTTTCCCCTAAAACTCTCAGCATTTGGTTTTGACATGTCGAAGTGCATGAACTTTATTTCATTTTTGCACAGACTCGTCACCCGTGCTCCGTCATGGTGCCAGGCTGCTGGTGTTTATTAAAGATTGAGTGCGGAGATCCAGGTGGAGGAGTGGAGGAGAGAGCGGAGCTGCTCCGTCACTCCCTCCGTCTGTGGTGGGACAGAAATAGACTCCGCTCCGCCGACACAAAGGGCCCGTGCAGGAGTCAGGGAGGATCCACGGACCTCCAGCCTCTGACGTCGGGCCTGCGGCTGGTTTTCCTGCCGGGCGAAGATTTCACAGAGTCAGAAAAACAAACAGGGTGAGAGCGGGGACGGGGTCGGTGCGGCCGAGGACGGCAGGAAGGAAGAGGAGCAGTGAGGAGAGGAGCTAAAACCCAAACAGGAGCCGTACTCGGGTCTCAGTGACCCCGCCGTGAACCCGCGACCTTACACTCAGAGAGAATATTTCCGGTTACCTCTGCACGACACCGCAGGAACACGGAGGAAGAGGAGGAGGAGGAGGAGGAGGAGGAGGAGGACAGGGAGAACACACACATACACACATGAGTATATAAGTATATGTATATATTTGTGTATGTATCTGTATACATACATATATATATGCATATATGTAGAAGATTAAACTATATGTGATTAACACACACACACACACATATATACACATATATAGTGAAAGTTCATTGTTTTTTTCCCTAACCTGGATCGGATACACACACACACACACACACCTACACACATAAAGTTTTAAATATATATTTATATATATTTAAAACTATATAAACCCGTCAGTATACATGTATGCAGATATAAATATATACATATATACTGACATTGAAATATTTTTAATGTGTACATATATTTCTACATAATTGCATGTATTTGTAACTCCTCTATTTTGTCATTAATTATTTATAATTTGTTTTAATATTCTACTTGTAGGTCGTTCTTTTTTTTTCTTTTTCTTCTTCGACATTTTAGACGGAGTTCATATTTTATTTTATTTTATTTTTTATTATTATTCTGCCGCTTAACACTTTTTCAAGATCACAGGACAGTAAAATATAAAAAATAAATCCAAGTGTCCCAAAAAAAATTACAAAATTGTTAAACAACATTCCAGGGAATGTGAATTAAATTATAATCTGTAATAAATGTATGAAGCTGTTTCGCTGCGTCACTGACGACGATTCACGGCAACAAATAACAGAGAAAACATCGACAACTTTTAATCTGTCAGATTATTTGTAGGTTCCGTTCACGGGGGTGAACCGTGTCTCACTGACGTCACAGTTTTAGTTTGTTAATGTGAAACTTTTTTTTTTAATTCAAACTTCACTAACGCGCGCATTAATTTCTTATTGTTTGTTGTGTCGTAATTATTGACACAGATCGTCACGTAAAATGATTCTAGACTGAAACCTCGATAGAGCGTCGGCCGGTGTGTGTGTGTGTGAACTGTGAACCCGTCAAAACACACACACACACAGACACACACAGACACACAGACACACACACACACAGACACACAGACACACACACACACACATACAGTAAAATTCTATTTGATTCAGTAACAAACCCAGATCACTACAGGCCTGACCTACATCTGCGGCCTGCGCTGTGTGTGTGTGTGTGTGTGTGTGTGTGTGTGTGAGAGAGAGAGAGACAGAGAGAGAGAGAGAGAAAATGAAATGTTCATTCATTATTCAGAGCTGAGTCTATTAGCTCTGGATGACAGATGTCAGGCCGTGATGGAAGTGTTTATGTTTGACTGATTTAAGTCTCCATTATCCCTCCCGCTTATCAAACATTGGTGTGTATGTAGGTGGTGGAG